AATCGGCCGAGGAAATTCGCGAGCAAAGAAGGCGAAAGCGAAACCTCAGAAGAACAGAAGAAAAAGCCGAAGCCATCACCTAGCCCGAGGGATCCTAGGACGAATTCCCAGGGTGAAGTACAAACAAAGAACTTCTTTGCGCCACTGAGAACATCAGGAATGGACGTGGAGGAGACAGCCAACAAGTCGGGAGAACAGGAGCCATCGGACAGCAAATCAGGTAGGCCGCCTCCAATTGTGCTAACCTCTACAACAAACCTGATACAGTTGCAGAGGAATATCAAAGGTATTGTCAATGGCAATTTTGAGTTCCGCAACATCAGGAGTGGGACCAGAATTGTCACAAAAGAAATGGCGGACTTTTCAGCCATAAAGAAATTCCTGGAGGACAACAATCTTGCTTACTTTTCCTATTATCCAAAATCCGAAAAAAACCATTAAAGCAGACATCCGTCATCTCCTGCAAAGTACTCCAGCGGAGGATATCTCTGACGGTCTGGTGAGTCTGGGTTTTGACGTCATTAACGTCAAACAAATGACAACCAGTCGTCGGACGCCTCCGGAAGGAGCAATGACCATCAATCTTCCCTTGTTCCTTGTGACCCTCCAAAGGACGGAAAAGTCCCAAGAACTCTTCCGCTTAACCAACCTCTGCCACATTGCCATCAGGGTAGAGGCGTACAAAGCGCAAAACGGGCTTACATAGTGTTATAACTGTCAGCAGTTCGGCCACGTTTGGGCAAACTGCGAGCAACCCCCACGTTGTTTGTGGTGCGGAGGTGGCCACCTATACAAGGAGTGCCCAGAAAAGGAAAACTCTGCTTCCACCCCAGTATGTTGAACTGCCAATTGGCGGAAGGTGAAAAGCCGCATCCCGCTAATTATCGGGGTTGCAAACATGCCAAGCAGGAGCAACAGAAAAGGAAGGCTCACAGAACGTCCAAAACTACCACAGGGAGGTTGTTCTCTTCAACCATCGTCACTCCAGGTGTCTCCTTCGCGGCGGCACTCCGAGGCAGTACAGTAGAGCAGCAACAGCGCTCTCAGGAAAGCCATGTTCCGGTGGCTCCACCCCCAACAAGGAAGCAGATTATATCGGCCACTGCACTGCAGAAGGAAACAGGTCTGTTCAGGCTACTCATGTAAACGGCCAATCCCTCGACAATATGTTGAGAGTAGTGACTGTAGTGCAGCAGATAATGACAGAGGTCAGTGGTGCGGTGTCCGAGGAGGACAAAGTAATGGCCATTACTAAAATTGTTCTAAACCTAATAAAACAAAATGGCCACTACAATTCATAGGCCCCTCAAAGTCATAGCATTTAATGCGGACGGCATTGGGAGGCAGCGCTAAGAGCTCAGTAAACGGCTGCATGGCCTACACGTAGATGTGGCCCTGTTTTCAGAGACGCATATGAAACCTCATGAGAGGTTCTTTATTCCAAATTACCACTTTTATAGAATCGATTGCCACTCGGGCAGAAAAGGCGGAACTGCCGTTGCAGTTAAAAAAGGTATTCCCCATAACCATGTAGTCCTACCACCCCTTGTTTCAGTAGAAACGACAGGGGTCTGCATACCAATTGGTAATAGTGAAGTACAGCTTGCAGCTGTTTATAAATCTCCAGGCAGAGCCTGGAGTGATACTGACATCACTGAGCTCTTACGCTTTAGACGTAAGACTATTTTGTCAGGTGATTTGAATGCTAAGCCCCAATTTTGGAATAGCAAAGTTTCAAACCCCTCAGGCTTGAAACTCATGGATTTATTTGATATGAGTGATTTCGAAATCTCAGCACCACAATGCCCCACTCATTATTCCCCTACGGGAAATGGTGACGTGCTGGATATTGTGGTCTACCAAAATATCAGAATGTCAGATGTCATCGTCTGATATTTTGGTTTCAGATCACCTACTAATAGTATTCCACATATTGGACCACGTTATAATTAGGAAACTTTCGGAACCAATTGAAAAATTTACAGATTGGGAGCGGTTTCAAAGCCTCGCCTCTGACTTAATATCACCTAAACTAGAAATTATTTCGGGGGTAGAAGCCTATAAAGTCGCACGCGACTTTTCAGCCTCTATTGCTTCGGCATATAGGTTGTCGACAAGTAAAGTTACACTTTCGGATATAAACAACGATCTACCTGGTCTAGATCGTTTGATAAAATATAAGCAGAGGCTAAGAAAATTGTGGCAAGAAACCAGGCATCCAGCGTGTAAAGCGGCAGTCAATTGGGTCACCAAATAAATCAGACAAATGACCCGAAAAAGGGCACTTGAACGGTGGGAAACAAAAATAGGTAACGCTAAAGTCACGCCTCAGGGTATATGGCCCATTGTGAAATCTCTCTTATTGAGAGACAGACCAAGGGCACCAGCTACTATTCATGGTTCTTCTGGCCTTAAATTTTATCCTTCTGATAAAGCCAACGAAATTGCCGACTGTTTGGAAATTCAGTTCACCCCGCATGATCTGTGCGACGATAACCATGAACGGCGAGTGGAGGCTAGAGATCAAGCTCTGCTCGAAACCGTAGACGAAAACTCCCCTCAAAGGATCAGACCATGTGACGTGCAGAAATTAATAAATCTCTGAAATTAAAAAAGGCCTGCGGAATTGACGGCATCCCAAATGAATGTCTCAGGCACCTTCCAAGGCGACCACTGGTTCATCTAACCCATTTATTTAATCATTGCTTTCGGCTGTCTCATTTTCCAAATACTTGGAAGGAAGCAAAAGTAATAACTTTACCCAAACCCGGTAAAGACCTGAAATTCCCTCAAAATTTACGTCCGATCAGCCTCCTGTTCACGACAGGAAAATTATTCCAAAAAGCAATTTTGAATTTCCTCCAAAAACATATTTAAGAAAGAGGCCTGCTCAACGCAAGCCAGTTTGGTTTTCGTGCACGTCACAGCTCGACAATGCAATGTATGAGGCTGGCGGACCACGTGACCCTTAATTTTAACAATAAAATGTCTACGGCGGCGGTGTTCTTGGACATCGAAAAGACTTTGATACCACGTGGCACTCAGGATTGATGGATAAGTTATCAAAATTGGAATTCTCGAACAGTTTGACCAAACTTATTTGGTCATTTCTTTCTAAACGTAAATTCAGGCTCTCGGTTGAAGGCGAAATGTCAACGCCATGGGAAATGCAAGCAGGGGTGCCACAAGGTTCTGTCCTTTCCCCTACGCTTTACAATTTGTACATAAATGATGCCCCCAAACTCATGATGTTCACTGGGCCTCTTTGCGGACGACACCTGCCTGTATGCGACAGATCGCAAGGAGGGTTTTATTGTTAGAAAACTCCAGCGCGGTCTCAGCTCAATGGAGACGTGGTGTGAGCGCTGGAATATAAAAATTAATGAAGATAAGATTCAGGGGGTCTACTTCTCTCGTGGTCGTCGACCGCCTGAGTCTTGTCTTACTCTAAATGGAAGAAATATTCCATTTGTAAATAGTGCAAAATATCTAGGTGTAATCTTCGATAAGAGAGTGACTTGGAGATTACACATAGAAATGATCGAAGCCAAGGCCTTCAGAACATTCATTAGAGTATATTCCCTATTCAAAAGTGAGCGATTGAGCGCTAACATTAAACTAACCCTCCATAAAGATATTATTAGATCCGTAATGACTTATGCTAGTCCCGCCTGGCAGTTTGCGGCTGACACCCATCTAGTAATATTGCAGCGCCAGAAAAACAAGGTTCTCTGCACGATTGGAAATTTTCCAAGGCGCACAACGGTCCGCGATTTGCACATGGCATTCAAAATCCCGTACGTATATGACTTTACAACAAAGTTGTGCAGGCAACAAGCAGAAGTAATATAAAATCATGAGAATGAGAATGTTCGCAAAATCGGACAAGGCGAGGCCAGCCACAGAAAGTATAAGAGGCTTAAACTTGGCGGCGGTCAGGCATACGACCGTTCAAGTGACTAGACTTCCGTGATAGCGATTACTATTGGAAATGGGGCATAATCTTCTGTACAAAGCCTGGACGACATTGGTCTTGTAATTATTGTACATAGAAATAGTAATTAAGACTAGAATTAAATTGTAAATATATGTCATTACTGAGAATGGGCTGACAAAGACTGACAAATGACAGACCCGACTTCTCGTCAGAGATGGCGCCCCAAATGGACAGGAAAGCAACTTTCACAAAGAAGAAAACATCTGGTCACGAGAACCACCTGGAGCTAGACACCAAGACAGACAGACTGACTGTCAGTAGCAACTTGACTTTGACTTTGACTTGTGATCACATTCAGTCCAGAGCGATCAGTCATCAGAGTCATCAGCTTTTCACTGCACCAAGCAAGCACGCTCTGCAACAAGGCAACTGACGTAGTTCGCAAGTCTCCAGTGAGCACGCTCTGCGACCAGGCAGCTAACGTATTTGCCGCAACTCTCCAGTGTACGCATGGTGGAGCAAACGGCACTTTCCAGGGCCTGCAAACTTTTCTTCGAGTGGTTGCCTATTGGAAGATCGACAATCCCACAAATTGTTATGATTTTTCAACCAAAATTGATTCTTGGACAACCTCACTAAAAGCAGTTAAGCAATTGTAGTTTGCAGACATTTTCATCCATAATGAAGTCTAGTTTACTGAAGGCTACACATAGATTTTCATATACATATGATAAAGAATCAAACATTATGAAGACACCACAACTAAAATTAATTAGGCATACAGAATGCACGGAAAATTCTGCATAGAAAAGCATTTTTTTCTTCTAATTTGATACCCTGGATACCTCCTGATTAGAACCATATCCTTTTCTGGGTCGAATTAAACTCAACTCGGGATTTATGCATAAATTTCAGGCATAAAGTTATATTCATAATATTACAGAGACAATAAAAGGGATTAACCAGTTGCTAAAATTCATAGTTACCATGCCAAATTATTAACAGATGGGAAACAGAAAAGTCTTACTCATTCTAAACTATTCTCTAACGTATGTCATTGCAGCTAAGAAAATCCCACGTCAAAGGGAACATGATGGACATCAATATGACACTGCTGTTCGTTGTGTTCACACAAGGAGTCCTGACTGAAAGCAACAACATCCTCACTACACAACAGCTCCACACTGCCCTGTGCGTGGAAACCATTGCACACAGATATTTCACACCTGGAAGTCCTCTCGTCATCTCACTGCCTGGGATGGGACAGACAGGCATACACAGACCATTTCTTGGAATCCTGCAACACAGGGATCACTTACAAATGGTGAATTTCTTGCTGGAAAACTTAAACGAGAGAACGACATGGACAATTCAAATATTCCAACCAGAAGGAGACGAAATCATAGATACATCAGTTCTACACCACAGTTACATTCTGTTTGTGTGGCTAGACATGGAAGTCACTCTCAACAGGACTCTTGGAGATCAGGTGGAGATTCTGAAATACAGCACATCTTGGAATCCTCGAGGAAGGTTTGTGGTGGTGGTATCTGGCCACAGCAGTGAACCTCCCCAGTTATTGGCCAGTCTCATCTGTGCCATGCTGTGGCAGGTGGCCAGTATTGCCAACATAGTGGTCTTGATCCCAAACCAAATTGCATATCGTTCTCTGAAAACAGTGACCAGCTTGCAGACAGCAGAATTTGACACACTGAACTTGTACACTTGGTTTCCGTACCAATCGGGAAGATGCGGACAACTTGAAGATGTCACTCTACTAGATGAATGGATGCTTGAACACAACGGCAGATTATCAAATGAAGTTGACTTATTTCCGATAAAAGTTCCAAACGATCTTGTGGGATGTCCCATCAGAGTTGCTACTTATGGAATTGATCCTTATGTGATTTTGACAGATAATTACACACGCAATGATGGAACTACTGTGTATAGATTAGGAGGCTTATCTGTTGAAATACTTTCCTTGGTATGTGAAAAAATGAACTTAAAAACTGTTTTCTCTCCACCTTCAATAAATTTGGAACTGGAATCAGCTATAACACAATTATCTGACTTACAGGCTGGAATAACTGATGTCTTAACTGGTATTATTATACTATCAGCAGCTGCTGTTAATCCAACATATGATGCAACAGTTACCTATACGTATGGATATGTTAAGATGATTGTTCCTTGTCCAAAACGCATTCCTGGAATGGAGAAGATAATGACAACTTTCTCTTTATCTGTCTGGTTGATGATGGTTCTCGTGCTCCTACTGACTGCGGCTCTCTTCTGGTGGGCAGGGAATGGCCCTTACCACTCTGTGCTTAAGGAGTCACATTCTTACAAGTCAGTATCCCACTGTTTCTACAGTGTATGGGCTGTTCTCATGGGAGTGTCTGTTCCAAAGCAGCCCACTACTTCTAACCTCAGGGTTCTCTTTCTTCTGTATGTATGTTACTGTTTTGCTATGAGTACTGTATTCCAAGCTTTATTTGTGTCTTATCTTGTGGAACCAGCACATGAAAAGAAGATCAAAACCTTTGACGAACTGCAAGATTCAGACGTCATTTATGGATACCATCCCATTGTTGACCTCTTTCTGTTCACAGCAGAATTTCCTGCACTTCAGAAATTCTCTGAAAACAAGAAACTCAAGGAAGAATGCACTGAAGTACGTAAATGTGTCCAACGAACAATAACCAAGAATGATATGGCTTCATTTACTTATCCAGAGTTCTCTACTTATGTTGCCAGCGAATTGGGGATTGCAGATGAAAGCACAGTGATCTGTTACTTGGAAGAAAATTTAATTTCTGCAGGTTTAACAATGCTTCTTAAAAAAGGAAACTTCTTTCTTGATAGGATTAATGTGCTCATAAGACGATGCCTTGAAGCTGGATTTCTGGAAAAGTACTGGTCTGAACTGCAGCACGGGGCTCATGTAAGAAGCATGGACAAATTGACCGATGTAAGTTCCATCTCCTTTGTCATCTTTTCTGTTTCTCACTTGAGCCCAGCATTCGTGGTGCTCATCTTCGGATATATATTGAGTTCAGTGGTTTTCATTACCGAATTAATTCACAAGCAGATTAACACATGAATAAAATCAAAGAACAAACACATTTGGAAAGTGAGATGGACAAGGAACATGTGGCATTAGTGCCACCACACTAAGCCCTGAAGATTACACTATAAGTTTAATTGCAATGTGAACAGAAAGTACATTGCATAAAACTTCATGTACACTTTAGAACTTGGTTCGTGATGTAGAACCTGAGGAAGTAAATGGGAGAATTTGGGGAGAAAAAGAGATGTCATACCACAGTGAAAAGGATGAATATGATAACATGTGATATAATTTTTGTTATTTGCTGCATGAGGCAATGTGAGAACACTGTTAATATCTTCATACAGTGTACAATATTTAGATTAGCTAACTATATGGTTCTGACCCCTTCTGGAGAAGTCACCAGTTGTGCACCTATTCGGGAACTTCCAGGAATTTTATGTACACCAAAGGTTCATTTCCGTGTTCACTGATCCTTGTTCTAAGCCAGAGAAATTCAGTCCGTACCACCCCATCGTATATCTCTAACATCTATTTTAATATTATCTGCCCACCTATGGTCTCCTTAGTGTCTCTTTCCTTGTGGGTTTCCCACCAATATCCTATTCACATTCCTCTTCTCCCCCATGTGTTTGACATGCCCTGCCCACCTCATCCTCCTTGACTTTATCATTCTAATAATATGTGGCGAAGAGTGCAAGTCAAGAAGCTCCTCATTTTGCAGTTTTCTCCAACCTCCGGTCACCTCATCTCTCTTCAATCCAAATATTCTCCTCAGCACCCTGTTCTCAAACACCCTCAGTCTATGTTCAATCCTTGATGTCAGAGACCATGTTTCACATGCCTTCAGAACCACAGGAAAAGTCAGAGATATGTGTATTCTAAGCTCTACATTTGTAGACTGCAGAAAAGAAGAAAAAAGTTATGGACTGTAAGATAGCAAGCATTACAGGAATTGAATATCCTTTAATTTGTTCCTGAATCAAATTTTGATTTGTTACTGTTATTCCTAAGTATATGAACTGTGCCACATTTTTCAAAATATCTGTTAGTTATCTATAAGTCATGATTTTGCCCTGTATTCTTGTGATGACACAGCAACTTATATTTACACTGATATACTGGGTTTCTGGACTTTATCCACCGTCCTGGTTTTTAAGATAACTAATAAAAACACGACGTTTTGGAAACTGGATCTGTTTCCATCTTCAGGTGAAGGAAAAACCTATTCTGTTGGGTCCGTTAGAAAGAGCTAGCCTCAATCACTGGACGACTTTATCCATCGTCCTGGTTTTTAAGATAACTAATAAAAAAATAATAATCCAGTGACTGAGGCTAGCTCTTTCTAACGGACCCAACAGAATAGGTTTTTCCTTCACCTGAGGACGGAAACAGATCCAGTTTCCGAAACGTCGTGTTTTTATTAGTTATCTTAAAAACCAGGACGATGGATGAAGTCCAAATACCCAATATATCAGTGTGTTATACACCATCGACAGAATCCTATAGTAACTACTTATATTTAGTTTTCCCGGTGTTACTTCTAGACCAACCTCCTTGTTAGTGTCTGATGAGTTTCTGATGAATACCGACACTGTCTTTAAATAGTAACATTAAAAATAAAGCGTTAAGCATTCCCTCATTTCTTCTATCCCACCAAATTTCAATTAGATTGTTGTCTAGACCGAACTGCTAGAACATAGCAACATCAACACAGGGAGCAGCCCTACACATATCATCATAAGAAAATCTAATATACGTCACTCCAAAAAACAACGTGTTGGGTGACACACAGAATAACGAGCATAAGCTCCACAAGATGATACTAAGGTCAAGACCACACGATCTGACATGTGAGAAGATCCCGATATGCAGGCGCCCCACACTACAGTCGCCTCTACCACCAGAAAATCACGTCAACAGGTAGCGGTCACAAAGTTTTAAAGAAATTTATCGCAAAACACTTAATTTCCATTTTAGTACAATTTTAATTCTTATATTTTAAATTTTGTATATAACTTTAAATTTTACTATCTGAGTGTATTTAAAAATTTTAACTGAAAGACTCAATTTATGCAGTTTAAAAACACTCAAGTGCAAAATAGGATCCTTACTGAAGAATTAGATGCAATTTGTGAACCGCTCCCCCCTTCTCTCTCTTCTTTTTTTCTCGCGGTACACGTACTGCTAGTCGTACTTTACTAGCACACCAGAAGACAGAATTCGTGAGGAGCAGCCCTCGTCTCTGGCTCTGTTGTCGCGTTCACAAGCTCCCCACGGTGTTCATGGGGTATCTAAGTATTTACGGAGGAGATAATATATATGCAGGCTTTCAAAACACCCAATAACAATATTTAATAGCCAACATAACAAGGAAACTCACACACAATATACAGACATAAATAAAGTAAGGCATAAAACGCAAAAGGGCGAGGCACCACAACCAAAAGTAGCGATTGCCCAAGTAATCACATATTATGGACAGTAGTAACAAGCAGAAACCCAAAACTGCCCCACTTGCACCAGCCTCCACAGGCCATCGAACAGGTTACACCAAAATTCAGCAAAGAAAATAATAATAATAATAATACAAAAGAACACGCTTATCAGCCAGACAGAAGACTCTCGAAACATTATTTAGAAATACAAAGTTCTCCGGCTGCGGGTAAGCAACTACTCGCGAGTACGTCTACCTTCAGACCGCTTCAGACCGCCCACGCACCTACTTCCTTCCGAGACAATCCTGGGGAGGGAAGGAAGGTCACGTGGTCAAGATAGGCAGAAATAACGGTAAAGACGTCGGCATAATGCCGGTAAAGGCAGGATGCCAGGATGCAACACGCATGAACAACTGAGTACGCCTGATGAAGACTCAGTATAATAATTGAATGTTGCGTCAGTAAAAATCTGTGTTGATATGACAATGTCTACTTTGCTTTAAATACAGAATATTGTTGTGTAGACTGCATAATTTTTGTTTACCTTGTTTATGACACACAACAGGATGCATACTATTAAGATTAGTCGCTGTTGGCTCACGCGAGCCAATAACCAGTAACCCACTGACTCTTCCACACAAACGAGTGAGACTATAGAAGACAAGAGCAGGTTAATCAGCGTGGCCTTGAAAAGGCATGTAGTATTTGAGCTGGTCTAGGTAAAACCTGGGGAGAAGCCGCAAGACATTTGATTTAGAGCCTTTTGCAGCAGACGGCTTATGGTGGTGGTGGTGAGGGGGGGGGTATGTATAATTGCACAATTCTCATTTCAATATTTTAATTTCTTGAAAATGATGTGCCGGTCACGGTAGCCGAGCGGTGTAAGGCATGTACTGTCTTCGCTCGCTTGGAAACCGGGATCGTGGGTTCGAATCCCACTCAGGGCATGGATGTTTAGTTTGTGTGTGTGTGCGTTTTTCTATGTTTTGGTACTGTAGACTGCAGTCTTTGCAATCACAGCTATGAGATCCTCAAATCCAAAATTTTAAGTTTTCAAAATGGTTATTTGAATAATGACACTAATGTAATTACTGAAGTCTAACAGAGGATAATATCTGAAATGTATATGTTCCAAGTTGGCACTAATACTGGTCCATCATCATCATGGGGTTTACTGTCCAGGTGACAGAGTTACATGAACTGCCTTCTGACAGTTAGTACTTTTAATGTCTTCACAGAAAAACCTCTAAGACCAACAGCAGAAGTGAATCAAATATATTGCGGAAGCCTTGTCAGGCAATGGATTATAAATTTTAGGGTTTAAAAACTGTAAATATTGGTAGCATTGTATTCAAATATAAGAGTTCATTCTTCTGGGATACAATGCAGTATTCCGGTGTAAGAAACTGAGCTTGCCACCGGTTTCTTACTGACTCTTGCTTGACTTCTACTTTGACACCGAAGATGGAGGCAGTATATTCCTAACATGCTGGCTGACTTTCACTGGACTATACAGCATTACATCCTAGAACACAGTCCTCTTCGCAGTAAATGCCGTGAGAACCTCTAACTCAGCATCGTCAAATACTCGTATATGCCTTCTAATAAGTTCATTGAATAACTGCTATAGAGAGACTACTACAAAGTAACTGCCATTACAAAAATGTTACCACAAACTGAAAGTAATCTTTAGAAGTATTGATTCAAGTTACAGGAAACACAAACAGCACACCTCAGTGTTACAGATGAGACATGCTCTTGAAAATGTCTCCACAGCATGAAATTACTAAACGTATGCTGTGTTCTTTGTTTGTATATGGTAGCGTAATTGGTTGAGGCACTGTGCTACAAGCCGCAAGGTAGTGGGTTCGATTCCCGATGAGTTCATCCGATTTTTCAACTAATCTACTCCTTCCAGACGCACTATGGCCCTGGGATTGACTCAGCCTCTAACAGAAATGAGTACCAGGAATCTTCCTGGGGATAAAGGGTGGCCGGCAAATAAGGCTGACAACTTCACCGCCATCTGTGAGTCGACTGTCTAGAAAATGTGGGAGCCTCGGTGTTTCACAACCATATGGGCCTCCACAGCCTGTTGCAAGAACAGATTTTACCCTTTTGACACTGTACTCTTTTATTGCTGCCCACATTATGGCCTGTGTAGGGATACATTCCTATGCAAGTTTGTCTGGTTCACAAATATAACAGAAAAACACTTTCTGTGCTCCTTCAGGCGTGCTATTTACACTTCTATTTCACTTCTTTCCATGGCAATACAATGCACAGTGCAAAACTGGATGGGAACCGGAACCTTAATACAAGACTTCCCACATCTTTGACACATGTGAATATGCAAAATCAATTCCTTAAAAACAATCATTACAAAGAAATTAGTTCTGCTTGAAGTTTTAATAATCTGTGTAACATACGATGTGGTACCCAAAAGAAACCGAACTAATTTTTTTGTGGGCAGAGCTTTTGTAGTACCGCGTTTTGCCACTATGAGCGCATAGAGCTAACATTCCTGAGTCGATAAGCCGACTACCGTTGCTTCAGAAGGTAAGGACTAGTTTCGGCAGAGTTTATAGTGACAACTGTTTTGTGTGATCGTCGTTTTTGCAATGGCTGATTTTCGTGAACAGCGTGCGGCGGTGAAATTCTGCTTTTTGCTCGGGAAAAGTGGAACAGAAACTCTTGAAATGTTAGAAACGGCGTACAAGGACGATGCTATGGGGAAAACTCAAGTGTTTG